CCGAAAATCAGGAACATTTTAGTTAATTTTAATGAAAACACATTGATTTATCATTTGTATTAGAAGAAACATTTTTATACGTCTTTTCTAGGGTCTAAAAAATACGTAACGTCGCTCTATGATTCGAAGTTAAAATCCTCAAATTTGGTATAATAATGACTTTTTTCACGTTTTTCATGTAGTTTGATATTACGTAAATATATTCATTTTTACCAATATTTCGATACTATTTCATGTAGTATCACGATATGTGATTTGGCCTTCAAATCTCAGATTTTCGCATAATATTGCATTTTAAGCAAGGTTTCTTGCATTTTGTTTCGTACTAAAAATCATCGAATTCAGCAATATTTTGACGTTTATCATCCCCTTTTCCTTTATGTGATATAAACAAAATATCAGCGAATTAGGCAATATTTTGCTGTTTTTCCACGTTTTTGTGAATTTTCAGTTTATTGCTATTAATTCATTAAATATACGATAAAAATGATGCAAACACATAATAGATTTGAAATTAACCTTAAAAACTTGATTTTCAATCATCTATTTGTTTCTCGTTAAAATACTGAGTAAGATATTGGAAAGGGGAAAAGTTTTGTTTTTATTGCATATATCGACGTTTCAGCCGGATTAGAACGGTTTTACGTGTACATCTTTTATCGGTAATATAAACTGAAAATCAGGAACATTTTAGTTAATTCTAATGAAAACACATTGATTTTTATCATTTGTTTTTGAAACAACATTGTCTTATGTCTTTTCTTGGATCTAAATAATACGAAACCTCGCTCTATGATTTGAAGTTAAAATCCTCAAATATGGTAATAGAGTGACTTTTTTCACGTTATTCATGTAGTGTGATTTTACGTATATATATTCGTTTTTACCAATATTTCGATACTACTTCATGTTTTCTCACGATATGTGATTTCGCCTTCAAATCTCAGAATTTCGCAAATTTTGCATCTTTAAGCAAGTTTTCTTGCATTTTGTTTTGTACTAAAAATCATCGAATTTAGCAATATTTTGACCTTTATTATCCCCTTTTCCTTTATGTGATTTAAACAAAATATCATCTAATTAGGCAATATTTTGCCGTTTTTCCACGTTTTTGTGAATTTTCAGTTTATTGTTATTAATTCATTAAAAATACGATAAAAATTATGCAAACACATAATTGATCAGAAAATAACCTTAAATACTTCATTTTCAATCATCTATTTGTTTCTCGTTAAAATACTGAGTAAGATATTCAAAAGGGGAGAAGTTCTGTTTTTATTGCATATATCGACGTTTCAGCCGGATTAGAATGGTTTTACGTGTACATCTTCCATCGGTAATATAAACCGAAAATCAGGAACATTTTAGTTAATTTTAATGAAAACACATTGATTTATCATTTGTATTAGAAGAAACATTTTTATACGTGTTTTCTAGGGTCTAAAAAATACGTAACGTCGCTCTATGATTCGAAGTTAAAATCCTCAAATTTGGTATAATAATGACTTTTTTCACGTTTTTCATGTAGTTTGATATTACGTAAATATATTCATTTTTACCAATATTTCGATACTATTTCATGTAGTATCACGATATGTGATTTGGACTTCAAATCTCAGATTTTCGCATAATATTGCATTTTAAGCAAGGTTTCTTCCATTTTGTTTCGGACTAAAAATCATCGAATTCAGCAATATTTTGACGTTTATCATCCCCTTTTCGTTTATGTGATATAAACAAAATATCAGCGAATTAGGCAATATTTTGCTGTTTTTCCACGTTTTTGTGAATTTTCAGTTTATTGCTATTAATTCATTAAAAATACGATAAAAATGATGCAAACACATAATTGATTAGAAATTAACCTTAAAAACTTCATTTTCAATCATCTATTTGTTTCTCGTTAAAATACTGAGTAAGATATTGGAAAGGGGAAAAGTTTTGTTTTTATTGCATATATCGACGTTTCAGCCGGATTAGAACGGTTTTACGTGTACATCTTTTATCGGTAATATAAACTGAAAATCAGGAACATTTTAGTTAATTCTAATGAAAACACATTGATTTTTATCATTTGTTTTTGAAACAACATTGTCTTATGTCTTTTCTTGGATCTAAATAATACGAAACCTCGCTCTATGATTTGAAGTTAAAATCCTCAAATATGGTAATAGAGTGACTTTTTTCACGTTATTCATGTAGTGTGATTTTACGTATATATATTCGTTTTTACCAATATTTCGATACTACTTCATGTTTTCTCACGATATGTGATTTCGCCTTCAAATCTCAGAATTTCGCAAATTTTGCATCTTTAAGCAAGTTTTCTTGCATTTTGTTTTGTACTAAAAATCATCGAATTTAGCAATATTTTGACCTAATTATTATGCAAACACATAATTGATCAGAAAATAACCTTAAATACTTCATTTTCAATCATCTATTTGTTTCTCGTTAAAATACTGAGTAAGATATTGAAAAGGGGAGAAGTTCTGTTTTTATTGCATATATCGACGTTTCAGCCGGATTAGAATGGTTTTACGTACATCTTCCATCGGTAATATAAACCTCTATGATTCGAAGTTAAAATCCTCAAATTCGAAGTTAAAATCCTCAAAATAATGACTTTTTTCACGTTTTTCATGTAGTTTGATATTACGTAAATATATTCATTTTTACCAATATTTCGATACTATTTCATGTAGTATCACGATATGTGATTTGGCCTTCAAATCTCAGATTTTCGCATAATATTGCATTTTAAGCAAGGTTTCTTGCATTTTGTTTCGGACTAAAAATCATCGAATTCAGCAATATTTTGACGTTTATCATCCCCTTTTCCTTTATGTGATATAAACAAAATATCAGCGAATTAGGCAATATTTTGCTGTTTTTCCACGTTTTTGTGAATTTTCAGTTTATTGCTATTAATTCATTAAATATACGATAAAAATGATGCAAACACATAATTGATTAGAAATTAACCTTAAAAACTTGATTTTCAATCATCTATTTGTTTCTCGTTAAAATACTGAGTAAGATATTGGAAAGGGGAAAAGTTTTGTTTTTATTGCATATATCGACGTTTCAGCCGGATTAGAACGGTTTTACGTGTACATCTTCCATCGGTAATATAAACTGAAAATCAGGAACATTTTAGTTAATTCTAATGAAAACACATTGATTTTTATCATTTGTATTTGAAACAACATTGTCTTATGTCTTTTCTTGGATCTAAATAATACGAAACCTCGCTCTATGATTTGAAGTTAAAATCCTCAAATATGGTAATAGAGTGACTTTTTTCACGTTATTCATGTAGTGTGATTTTACGTATATATATTCGTTTTTACCAATATTTCGATACTACTTCATGTTTTCTCACGATATGTGATTTGGCCTTCAAATCTCAGAATTTCGCAAATTTTGCATCTTTAAGCAAGTTTTCTTGCATTTTGTTTTGTACTAAAAATCATCGAATTTAGCAATATTTTGACCTTTATTATCCCCTTTTCCTTTATGTGATTTAAACAAAATATCATCGAATTAGGCAATATTTTGCCGTTTTTCCACGTTTTTGTGAATTTTCAGTTTATTGTTATTAATTCATTAAATATACGATAAAAATTATGCAAACACATAATTGATCAGAAAATAACCTTAAATACTTCATTTTCAATCATCTATTTGTTTCTCGTTAAAATACTGAGTAAGATATTGAAAAGGGGAGAAGTTCTGTTTTTATTGCATATATCGACGTTTCAGCCGGATTAGAACGGTTTTACGTGTACATCTTCCATCGGTAATATAAACCGAAAATCAGGAACATTTTAGTTAATTTTAATGAAAACACATTGATTTTTATCATTTGTATTAGAAGAAACATTTTTATACGTCTTTTCTAGGGTCTAAAAAATACGTAACGTCGCTCTATGATTCGAAGTTAAAATCCTCAAATTTGGTATAATAATGACTTTTTTCACGTTTTTCATGTAGTTTGATATTACGTAAATATATTCATTTTTACCAATATTTCGATACTATTTCATGTAGTATCACGATATGTGATTTGGCCTTCAAATCTCAGATTTTCGCATAATATTGCATTTTAAGCAAGGTTTCTTGCATTTTGTTTCGGACTAAAAATCATCGAATTCAGCAATATTTTGACGTTTATCATCCCCTTTTCCTTTATGTGATATAAACAAAATATCAGCGAATTAGGCAATATTTTGCTGTTTTTCCACGTTTTTGTGAATTTTCAGTTTATTGCTATTAATTCATTAAATATACGATAAAAATGATGCAAACACATAATTGATTAGAAATTAACCTTAAAAACTTCATTTTCAATCATCTATTTGTTTCTCGTTAAAATACTGAGTAAGATATTGGAAAGGGGAAAAGTTTTGTTTTTATTGCATATATCGACGTTTCAGCCGGATTAGAACGGTTTTACGTGTACATCTTCCATCGGTAATATAAACTGAAAATCAGGAACATTTTAGTTAATTCTAATGAAAACACATTGATTTTTATCATTTGTATTTGAAACAACATTGTCTTATGTCTTTTCTTGGATCTAAATAATACGAAACCTCGCTCTATGATTTGAAGTTAAAATCCTCAAATATGGTAATAGAGTGACTTTTTTCACGTTATTCATGTAGTGTGATTTTACGTATATATATTCGTTTTTACCAATATTTCGATACTACTTCATGTTTTCTCACGATATGTGATTTGGCCTTCAAATCTCAGAATTTCGCAAATTTTGCATCTTTAAGCAAGTTTTCTTGCATTTTGTTTTGTACTAAAAATCATCGAATTTAGCAATATTTTGACCTTTATTATCCCCTTTTCCTTTATGTGATTTAAAC